CTACCCTCCCTGCATTCAAGAATAGGGCGAGTTGGGCTTAGAACCCACATCTAATTTGCTATTATTCAAAATATTATTAAAATATTCAAAATATTATTAAACTATCAATTATCCTTCACATAAATATTCAAAATATTATTAAAATTCAACACCTGATACATAAAATTTATATTCTTTCCAATAATATGCGAGTCGGGGAGGGTTGGATTTAGCCTAATACCATACCCTACTTGTACTCATAGGGGTTGTAGAATCCTAAAACTCATCCTAGCTTCAAGCAAAAAAAAAAAAAAAACAATACCCCATTAGTGCCGGTAACCATCGAGCATCCCTAGTATGACAGTACTGTTAAGGTTGGCAATGATGCCTGACTCTTGTATCCTATACACCCAATCTAAATGATAGTGCCTATCCGAATCACCAAATTGAGGTAGTGTAGTGCCTCATTCAAGTTCCAGAAAGGGAGTCTATGGCATAAAGAAGAAACTTTATGAGGATTTCATAGATGTAATCGATCGTATGAATGAAAGCATGAAACAAACTGCATTTGTCTTGATAGTCCAATCTGATTAGGATTTTTTGAACCTCTTGGGGAATGAGGTGATGTCATTGAAAGGATTTGACCATAAGGTACTCGATGTTGTGTTTGGGTACTTGAGTGAACATGAGAAAGAAAGAGGCAAAACTTTTCTTGGCAAGATAAAAGCTTTACAAATGAGATGGTGATTAAACCATCACATTCAACACTTCGACCATATATGATTAGAGGTCTTATTGGACTTGTTGGGGTATTCATAAAGGGGGAAATAAATAGCCACTAATGAAGATGTCTAACAATCTAGCATTAGTAGACCATGTCTAGGTGTTCCTAAATTGGTCTTTAGTAGATTTTATAGAAACTACTTCTTAACTATGTCTTATTTTTATATACACTTTACAACATTATTTTCAATTTGCTCTCTAAGTATAGGTATGATGATCTATCAAACAAAAGAAAAAACCAATATATGTATATGATGATATCCACACAAGGATATTACTTTTTTTGTTTAACAAGGATACAATTATTACCATTGTGGGTTTGGTTTCATAAGTTAATACGTTTGATTTGAATTGAGGCACCAATAATTTGTATCACTAAAGGTGTTGATACAAGATTGTTTGTTAACTTGGTTTTTAGGATCTCTTGGTATATGTTTGCCTTTTCTGTTACCACTGACTTGGATTTACAACTTATTGATTAACTGATATACTAACAACTTATTACCTAGACAAGATAACATGTTTGGTTTGAAGTTACCAATAACCCAGGCCACCAGATTAATTTGATACTAGATTGTTTGTTATACGAGTTATTAGGAAAAGCTTTATAGAGGGTTGGTTTTGATGTTACCATTGAATCATAAGAACAACTTCTTGTTTCTTGTGTTAGGCTAACACTTTGTTAGTTGAAAATGAGAATAGGGTTGATCGTTTTTTTCTTTAATTGGTAAAGAGTTTATGAAGTTGATGTGAGAATTGATCATGTTCATAAGGTTGATCATTTCAATTGGTATAGAACTGATTGAATGTGATTGTTCTTAGGGTGAAACTTTTACCATTTGATAGACATTTTTTATTGGTTGATTAACACTTGGGAATAGGAAGAAAGAAGCAACAATTCAAGTGAAAGATGACTTGCAAGGTAGATCTTATATAGTCTTCCACTTATGGATTAGTCAACTTCATTATGGCTTCTTGCTATTACTCTATGCAGCTTATTTCATATAGAGCACGTTTCTAAGTCATATTGATTAAATTAGATATATGAGCCTTAAATTTTAATTTGCCATGGTTCATGGGCTAGATCAAAACTATTTTTAGCAAACTAAGTTGGAGAGAAATTGTTTCAGGAGTAACTCAAGTTTAGATCAAGGAGTATTTAGACCTTAGTTTTTAGGGACCTAAAGATGGAAAAAAGTTCAATTTTAGTAGTATAACTTTGGCTTCAGAAGATGGGTCCCAACAAAAAGATCTCCAACACCTAAATTAGAGTAACATCGGATCTTTTTGAAGCATTTGATCTTCAAAATATTGGACCATCCAAATTGAAAAAGCCAATAGTTGAAATGTGATTGTTCTTGATATTTTTCTCTCCATTTAACTTGGAGTAGACATGAGAATTGTATATTTGTCATTTATTTTTGGAGCATTTAATTGGTTGTTAACAGGTTATTAACAACTTATATAATTGTCTATTTTGTAGGTTTTTAACATGTTATTATAACTGCTTATTAGTGGGGCTGAACATGTTATATTATTGCCTATTAGTAAGTTATTAATAGGTTACATAATTACTTTGTTAGCAAGTTATTAGTAATATGTTATACACACACATAACGATAATTTTTTTTTTGGTTGCAAAGAATAATAATTTCTAGTGCTTGAACTTGTTTTGTCAACTAATCAGTTGAAAGAAGGCTAGTATAATGGATAATTGCATGTTAGCATGTTAAACAGGTTATACAATTGCCTAATATCATGTAATTAACAGTCAAAATTTTTCTGTTGCAAAGAATAATATTTCTAGTGCTTGAACTTGTTTTATCAACTAATCAACTAAGGGAAGGCTAATATCATGGATCCTGGTTCAAATGGTCAATTATGATAATCCAAAATATGGTGAGAAGGCTAATATCATAAATCCTAGTTCAAACTGTCGATTATGGGAATCCAAAGTATGGTGAGAAGGCTAATATCATGCATCCCAATTCAAATGATCGATTATGGGAACCTAAAATATGGTTACATAATGTTGGGACTTTAATAGTGCAATATAGCAAAAAATTATTAGAAAATGCATCAAGAGGTATGGTGTGGCCCAAATCAATGTGGCAGTAGGGTTCAATGGTCAAAATTACACCACATTTCAAAGAGACCACACTACTCAACATCCCTTAGGATGCCAACACTCAAGAAAGGTCTTCCTTTTTTAACTCTTTAGTTTTCTATGTATAACATCAAAGGTTCATGGTTGCAAATACCCTTTCCTCATTTATTAAACCTTAAAAAAGTGATTCATTAAACATTTCCACCTGAAATTTGAGGCACACTATTGCATTATCACTTTTGTGTGAACATTTGCAAATGCATTTTATGGCTTTGTTTAAATATAAATTCTTATGTGCCTAGCAAATTCATACAACTCAACAATCATAAAACATAACCATGGCAAACACCTAGAACAAATGAAAGTAAGGTTAGTTACTTTCTATATTTAGAAGCAACTTCGGGGGTGTTCTGCAATGTAGATGATAAATTAGTGGGTGTGGATTGATCCATGCCACACTTTATGGCAGGGACCAATCCACACCACACTAGCATAAAATTATGTGGATTGAAATTGTCTATACTCATAGGGGCATTCTGCAGGTGTAGTGTGGATTTGTCCACACCAAACATATTGGTTCCATTCATCTCATGTACAATTTGTGAGATAATCTATACAATCGATCATGTAGAGATGCAAACAGATTTGATTGGATCGGGTTCGAATCAAGGTATATCCAAATTTAATCTAATAGCAGAATACAAATGGTGATTCAAATTCAAATCCATTAAGGATGTCATATATATGAGTCTAATTCGATCCAATTCAAATTATGAAAAAATTTAATAAATTATTAAAAGAAAAAACAAAAAATATAAGTATTTTTCAACTATTTTCATCATATATATATTAATATATACATATTTTTTTTTATAAAAAATTTACAAAAAATGCAATATAAACCTATTTATAAATAAATATATTAATATATATGTTTATAAATATATACATATATAGGTCAGATTGGATCGGATCCTGTCGAATCAGATATCGGTGATTTGAATTCCAATTGGATCTGATCCAAAAATCCGACAAAGGATTATCTGAATCTTAAAAACATAGGACTGAATTCGGATTGAATGAGCTGATCCATTTTAACCCACGATCATGAATGAAAAAAGCCACAATTTAAGCCAAAAATAATTTGGAATAATAATATAAAATAATAATGGATAAATTAAGACACCAATGCGTAATTACTAATAAATATATTTATCATTATAATGTTATCTTTAGCAATAAGTAATTTAAAAAATAATTTCAATATAAATTAAAATATATTAAAAGATTAAATAAAATGAGGGTAATTACACTAAACGCTTTCTACAAATTGTCCACACCATAGGGGTCTAGAATCGGAATTGGAATGGGCTTTTCCGATTCCAACTGTTTGGTTGGGTGGAATCGGAATCCTATTCCCATTCCTGCTGGAATGGCTATTCCCTCCCCCTTCCTTGGGAATGAAATCTCATTCCTGCTAATTCTAATTCCCATTTCCATTCCTGTCTGAACCAAATAGATTGTAGGAATGGATCATTCCCATTCTGATTCCAACTATAAACCAAATGGATCCTTAATATACTTTGATTGAGCTATTAAATCAACGTTTCTGAGAAGCTAGTTTTAGTAGCTTCTTCAATGCCGCTTAGCCAATGCAACGCAGCTCAATCAAAGCTGAAACCCTCCCAAACGGGTTCATAATGGTCTGAATTGCATATGGGATGGAAAATTTTTAAGCTTTTTGTTTGATATAAAAGAAGAGAGAAACATAAGCTGAAAAGTGAAAAGCTATGCAAAACATAGGCTTAGGGACTTGGGTCAGTTTCCAGTGGGATATTAAGCCCGAGCCGGGCCCAAATTGGGAGCTGAGTTACGAGTTGCGCGACACGGTGTTTTGCGTGGGCGCACGCCGCGGACGAAACTGAAAAGTGAAAAGCTATCCAAATCCTGTTTTTTTGAAAAACTAGAAGGCTGTCTGGTAAACAAACGTTCAAAAAATTCAAAGTTTGAAATAAGCGGGCAAGAAGAGGGGTTCGTGCCAGTTAACCCCTTGTGGGAAAAAAAATGAGTAAAATAATCCCTCACTTTTTTGAATTTTGAAAAAACCCACATAAGTAAGCGCACGCACTTGTACGCGCGGCTCCTCTCTTCTCAACCCTCAACAACTGAGAAGCTTCTCCCCAATCCCCATCTATCTTCTTATTTGTTAGATCAATCTTCTCTCTCTCTCTCTCTCTCTCTCTCTCTCTCTCTCCCTGAATTTCTCTTTTGAGTTTTTACTTAGAACCCATGTTCAGAAATTGTCAATAGAAGATCTGATATATCCTTATATCTCAGTTTTCTCTCCCCAAATTCCACATTCACGAGTTACATGTAAGCTCTCTCCCTCCCTCTCTCTATACTTCTGGTTTCTCTGTATTATGTCTTTCAAAGGTGATGGGAGTCTTCATTTCATTATATGATTTTGTTATACTGTGTCTGTGCCGACTTCTATTATTAACTTCAGTATTTCTACTAGGCTTTGTTCGTTATCCAGGTTCTTTTGAATATAAAATCCCAGTTTTTCTCACCTTTCTCTATGTCTACTAATTGAAGAGCATTCCCCAATTCTTTCCTTAGCATAATCTCAAATGGGTACGTTTCAGTTTTCTGTTTATGGTGGTACAAGATCAATTCACCTAGGTTCTGTTTACGGGTTCTCAGAATTTTTCTTCTTCTCACTGATTTTCAATTTTTGAATTTGGATTTCATAGGCAGTGAGATATTTATGCATTACTCCGATTGATTTGTGCCCTTTTCTTCAATTTCAGTTGTTTATCAGTACGCGTTCAACTGCATCTTGAAAGAATGAACGCTCTTCCAGATGCCATTGTTCAATACATTTTATCCCACATGAGGAACGCCAGGGATGTGGCGAGCTGTACTTGTGTATCTAAGCGATTTAAGGAGTCAATGCCATTGATCCGGAGCCTCTACTTCCCCCGCAATTCCTTTGATGACAATAACAGCGGAGCAGATCCTGACACTGTTGTGAGCCGAATGGTCTCATCGATCGTCTGGTTAGAAGAGCTCGTAGTCTACTGCCCATTCTCCAGTGCAGGCCTTGCTTCATGGCTATCGAGCGCAGGCCGGTCCCTTCGGCATCTGGAGCTCCGCATGGACAATCTTACTGAAAAGCAGTCTCGGAATGAGACCCTATCAAAATTGGATTGCATCGGTTATGCAACAGTCTTGGAGTCGCTCAAGCTCTGGGGTGTGATCATGGTGAATTCCCCCAAATGGGGTTTATTCAAGAACCTCCGGACTCTCGAAATAGTTGGGGCGAGGTTGGATGACAGAGCTCTTTCTGACGCATTTCGGGCATGCCCAAATTTGACAAATCTGTCACTGCTCGGTTGTGATGGATTGAGGTCGGTTTCAGTCCAATTGCAGCAGCTGGAGCAGTGTAGGCTCGATTTCTATGGCTTGGGAAACTGCTCCCTCACTGTCAGCTGCCCGAAAATTCAATTGCTTGAAATCCAAGGTTGCAGCTGGATTCGAGTAGACCAAACCTCTTGCTTGAGGAATCTCTCAATCTCCAACAGTGCAGGTAGCTTTCTCTTCAGAACTTCTCCTTGCCTTGGCCATTACAGAAAGTAGAGCTTGAAACTTAAATTTTGGTAAATGCCTTTCAGGTAGAGTTTACAAGGTGGATTTCGGGAGGCTCGGAGCTCTGGAGTTCTTGTCCATCAAAGGTGTTCAATGGTGTTGGGACGCAGTGAGCACCATCCTCCAATGTGCAAGTGAGGTGAAGCACCTGGTTATGAAGGTCGAGTTCACCGGGGATTTTGAAGCTTTACTACCGTTCCCGGAGGTTGATTTGGTTGATTTCTTTAACAGCCATCCCAAGCTGCAAACTTTCGAAATCCACGGAGCCATGTTTGCTGCTTTGTGCCAGAAGAACAGCTTAAAGAGTGTGAGTTTATATCATGGACAACATTGAAGTTACTCTGTCCTAAGGAGGATTCGAGAATTAATATATTAAATGCATTCTTTTGCAGGTGGATTCGAAGTTCGTTATTCCATCCTTGGAAGAGGTGGTAATCACAGTGAGGTCGCCTCTGAATGCCGAGCAAAAGATGAGTACCTTAGAGTCATTGCTCAAGTACGGAAAGAACCTGCGAAGGATGGTGATAAGGATTCTTCAGATGAAGAACTGCCATAACAGTGCAGATGATTTCTTTGAAGAGATTTGTAGGTTCAGATACTTGAACCACAAAGTTGTTCGGATTGAATAAGAATGTTGCAGAGGAATCTCTCTCCCCCCAATTAACTTCTAATTCAAACTTCTCTTGTTACCAGCCATTGCAGCTTGTGACATTCAACCATTTCGATTCAATGAGAATAGCCCCATCATGATTCTTTTTACTTTTATTATTGTGGGTTCTTCTCTAATCCTTCAAATTGCAGTTTTATGTTAACCCATTTGTAGACAAGATTGACCACCTTGACATTGTGATCCTTAGTTAGATTAATGATCTCTTAGTTTTTCTTTTAATCTTGCTTTTAGAATATTGATCAAGTTATAAAAAGTTAGCTATTGTGATTGGAGCTCAAGAGCTATCTACCGTGGACAGGTTGAGACGTTGAGTACTAACCCAAAATTCACCATCATAAGTCGAACATCTAGCTGACAGTTCCAAGTTCCAAACCAAGGAAAATTTTTGAAGTTGGAAAAGAAAGATCTCTGGTTATACTGCTTTTGCACTGTTTGGGAATTTTGAAGCAGAGGCTAGAGCTTGTTCAAAATTCTAATTAATGGCACGAGACAGTTTTGGGGAGTTTCTTTTATGGCAATTCCAAACCTTCTTGATTGCGCCTTGGGGTCTTGATTCTCTATGCAAATGATGTCTGAAATCTGAAGATGGCTCATACCTTTGAAGAATGGCGGCTGATGCCAATTATCTTTCCATTATATCTATCTTACAGTCTCTGATTATATCAATGGACGAGCTTTTCTTAAGGCGGTCATAGCCTCATAGTCTCCAACCAATCCTTACTGTTCTAGTGTTTGGCCCCGACTAAAGTCTCAAATGGTTCACCACTGTTTTAGGTGCCATAACCATCATGGATCGCCGACTAAACAATAATCTTTTTTGAGGTCTCTCTCAAGTCTCAACTGCCGTCACCAATCAACAAGTCTCCTACTGATAGAATATAATAGTTGACCCGGTTCGGGCCGGTCAAATTAGTTCATAGTTGCCAAACTGGTTCAAAGTTCTAAGTGTTACTGCTCTTCTTTGATTTTTGGCCCACTGAGGGAGGTCCATCTGATTTCATTTCAGCCCATGGTGTCTATTGGTGCCTCTCAAGGCATGATTATGGCCTATGTGTGCCCGTTTAAAAAACAAAACAAAAAAGGTCCATTGAGGCATTCGTTGACCTGATGTGGTCTTTATTGGCCCTTGTTGGCCCATGGTGCCCATCTTTGATTCTAGCCTATGAAGGCTTCCTTCTCTTCAACAAAGCAGTGGATCCTTATCAACATCATTGCAACTTGTTATCACCAAATTGCCACATCATTATTACACAACAAGCTTGAGCTTTGGCCCCATCGTAATATTGTAGCAGTTTTGTCAAACACATGAAGATCATTGCTCCCCATGTGTTTGACGGGGTGCGTTAGGGAGTTGAGATAAGAATGGGACCCTTAGAGAGAGAGAGAGAATTTTTTTATTTTTATTTTTACTTTTTGTATTTGGTGATACACACACCACACTAATAACCCCTCCCCAAGGTGGTTACAACTTACAAGAATGGAATCCACGTCTATGCTGGAGCGAATCAGCTAACATACCAACTGGCTCAGTTGCTGATAGAGTTTAGTTGAGTTAGGATTCCTATTTGTGTATTTTCCATATTAAATTAATGCTTTCTTTATAGTATTTTATGATATTTCACAAGCACCAATAGATTCATTAATTATGCCATTCATCCATCATGAATTCCTTTAGAACCCAATAGGGTTTGGTCTTCAAAAACCCTAGAAAAATATTGAGATAGAAAATTGAACAAGAGAACCAGAAACAATGAAGTTCTTATTCTTTCAAGCTTTGGTTTGGTTTGCCATGGTATTAGAGCTGTGATGATTAGGCTTTGCTTTTCTATTGCTCTCTCGTTGGATTTTGGCTCCTCCTCTGCACGTCTGAGAATTTTTTTCCCTAATCTACTCACCTATTTTTCTCATTGTTGTCATACTGTTTTGGCATGGCAGATCAAGATCCAAGTTGCCTTATTTTCCTACATCTCCCTCTGATAACCCAGGGGGATCTTAGTTTCATGTCCATTAATGGGGGATAACTACTCCACATGGCAACGAGACATGCAGAATTACAAGCGAAAAACAAGTAAGGCTTCATTGATTTGATAGTTCCACAACCTGATCCTGGTTCGACTGAGGAATGATTGTGGTCTAAGTGTAATTCCGTGGTCATTTCTTGGATATTGAACTTTCTTACTCGAAAGCTACGCAAAATTTTGCTTACTCTAAATTTGTTTTTCTTAGAGCAATGTGCCAGGAATCTATGAATTGAAACGAGACCTCTCCTTGCATTAAGGACATCTCTCAATGACTTCCTATTTCACCAAACTAAAGGGGATTTGGGACGAGATTGCAATTCTTGCACTAGTTCCTAAATGTACTTGTGGTGCTACTAAAGAAATACTTTCTGATCAAGAAAGAGATAGATTCAACTGGCCTTAATGATATCGATGGTCTAAATAGTGTCTGCTTAAGCATCCTCACCTTTGATCTTCTTTCTAGCATGTATTGTGCTTATACCTTAGTCATCCAAGAGGAAAAGCATCAGACCTTGCATTTGTAGAAATATTCTTTGGCTCTAGAAGCGGTGCCTTTAACACATTTGTTCAACGATCGTCTAATCGTGGCAATCAAAAATCAAAATTTAGGTGTGATCATTTGTAAGAATCAAGTTCACACCAAAAACCGTTACTACAAATTAATTGGATATTTAGAAGGTTAGGAAAAAGGTTAGTCCAGAAAATCCACGATCATTCATCCTCAATGATGGAGGCCCATCATAAGGCCCATCTCACCCTACGGGCGGCAGCTCCTAGGATAAGGGTAAGTCAAGATAAGGTCTAAGAAAAATAAGGCAAGACTTCCAAGATTAGCAAGAAATCAAGATCAAAATTATCAAAACTCCAATCAAGATCCAACAAAGACTCCAAGAAGCATTAAGAATTCCAAGACTTCCAGATTCATGCATAAGGAGAGCCAAGGAGATTGGACGGTGGAAGATCAAGCCCAAGAATTCCAAGAAAATTCGACCTTATCAAGACAGCCCAAGARGATCAAGATCAAGATCAAGATTAAGATTCATATTCTTTCCTAGTTACTTTACAACTTCCAAGATGTACTATAAATATTGGTTATTTCCAGTTAATAGACACTTCATAATTTCATACTTTCTTCAAGTTCTCTTCTTCCAATTTTCGCCACCTTTTCTCTCTCCTAGAGAATTCGGTGTTATTCGCTAGAAGCTAGCGCTCGCCCGGTGCTTGCATAGCCAACCCGGTTTTCCATTACTTCTACGTTGCGTCAGGTGGTATTAGAGCAGGGAATTTGCCCAATCATGTCCAACCCAGACGGTAGCAGTCGCAATCCACCCCGTGACGGAGATCAGGGGTTTCCAGCTGTTTGGAGAGCAATCGAAGAATAACGTACGACCACACGTAACATCGAGCAACAGTTGGCAGAGATGGCTAAACAACTGCGAACCTTGTTACGGGAGGTCGCTCCACGGAACCGGGAACATCCACAGCAAATTGAGGGAGACGACCACGACAGACCACCCGTCCATACTGCGTTCCGACGACCAGTCCTGGATGACGACAGTGATGATGATCTAGAATTTGGTGGTGCTCCAGTTCTTCCCGACAACGACAGAAATGACAGAAATTGGCATAACCAAGGTAATTTCAATCCCCGTAGGAATAATGATGAATTCAAACTTAAAGTAGATATTCCTACATTTAGTGGAGATCTTGGCATAGAAGGACTTCTGGATTGGATCACAAAAGATAGATTCTTTGATTACATGGAAATACCAGAGGAACGAAGGGTGAAATTGGTAGCTTTCCGATTAAAGGGAGGCACATCTGTTTGGTGGGAACGAATGAGAGAGACTCGAATTAGAGAAGGAAGGGGTCCTGTTCGAACCTGGAGGCGCATGAAACAATTAATCAGAGGTAGATTTTTACCTCCTGACTATGAACAATATATGTTTGAATCTTATGAACGGTGTGCGCAGCAGGGTTCACGTAGTGTTAATGAGTACACATCAGAATTTTTAAGATTAGTAGAAAGAAACCAGTTGTCTGAAAGTGATAATCAGTAGGCAGCCCGTTATCTGCGCGGGTTGAGACCGTCCATCAGGGACAAAATTGGTGTACAAATGGTTCTTAGTGTGTAGGAAGCAAGGAACCTAGCCTTGAAAGCAGAATTAATGTTCCAAGACAAGGCACGCAGTGATAATTACCGCCGATACAGCGAGAGCGACAACAGATCGGCAACTGTCGACAAGAACAAATCAGTCCCGACAGTGCAACCCTCTCACCCGACAAGAACAAGTAACGCTGGTAAGGCTACTACATGAGGACATACTCGAGGTAATCCTTCCAACCCTCCTAAACCCAATAACCCTTATGCAAGACCTACTCTTATTAAATGTTTTAAATGTAATGAGGTGGGACATAGGTCCAGTGACTGTCCCAAGAGGAAGGCAATTAATATGGTAGAAAGGGAGGAGGAAGAAGATATCGAGGAGGAAGTATACTGTGGGCCTGATGGGGAGGATGAAGAGGGTCCATGTGAACATGAGGAGTATACTTGTGTGGTCAGAAAATTAATGTTGTCCCAGAAAAATAAGGATACTTCTCAAAGGCACAGATTATTTCGTACCAGATGTACTGTCAAGGGAAAATTATTTAATTTAATTATTGATAGTGACAGTCAAGAAAATATTATTTGTAGGGATGTCATCCAACAATTACAGCTGATTCCTGAAAAATATCCCAACCCATACACAATTGGGTGGATCAAAGAAAGAAGCGGCGTACGAGTGGAAGAACGCTGCAAGGTACCTTTTTCTATTGGTAAGTACCATGTTGAAGTATATTGTGATATTGTAGATATGGATGCTTGCCATATTTTGTTAGGGAGACTTTGGTAGTTTGATACAAATGCAAGACACATGGGTTGGAAGAATACCTATCAACTTGAAAAAGAGGGTACACGTTATACTTTGTTACCCATAGCTGAAAAAAATATTACAAATGCTACAAAAACACATGAGAAGAATTTCCTTACCATCACCCATCATCATGTTGAATTTGTTAAAGAATGTAAAGATACTCATGAAATACTTTTGCTAGTATTAAA